AGAGTGATAGTCACTGAACTGCCGAGCTGAGAAGTGGCCAGGGATACTTCCTTTCTCTCTCTCTGACTCTCGAAAATAGGAAATGAGGAACTGGAGGATCTTGTCCTCGGCCTGCTGATACCAGTACACAGTATCATGTCCAGAGTCAGGAGAGCACTGCAGAGTGGCCTTTCCTCCCTTGGCTTTGATCAGGTGTCTGGGGGTCTGGAGGACCCCAGCATGCACCACACCTGGGCAGGAAGAGACAGCAATGAAGGCCTAGCCCTGAAGGGCATAGGATGCTCCAGCAACCAGGCTCTGCCCCACCAGTGCCCCTGACTCACCTGCTCCCAGGAGACACAGGACAACACCACAGAGGAGCCTGGGGCCTGGGGCCGAGTCCAGGGGAGCAGCCCCAGGCATCATCTCCCTACTGAGGTCACAGGTCTGAGAAAGAGAGAGAGGGATGTGCGGAGACAGAGACACAGAGAAACAGAGAGAGAAAGAGGTGGTGAGGCGGATTCTCCCCTCCTGGGTCAGCACACCCTCTGTTTATCTAAACACATCCCTGCCTGGGACAAGCCAAGGCTGAACCCACACTCTCCCAGTCAGGAAGCACCTGGCTCAGTGGGCCCACACTGCCCCCTGGTGATCAGCTGCTCATTACTGGATTGTCACTCTACTGCCTGAGCCAGGAGCTATCCCCAGGGTCCTCCAGACCCCAGGACAGCCCCAGAGGACTGGAGGATTGTCTCTTGCAATTTCAGCTCTTGTCTGTAAACATGAGAGAGGTGTGAAACAACCCTTCTTGTCTAAAATGAGAAGAAAAGGCCTTCCTTCCTTCATATACTCTAGTAAGCATGGAGAAACCCAAGAGTGATTACATGCCAGGTGTCATCAGTATGTTGTGACCTTGGCAAGTCATTGTCTTTGACCCCTGGTGATGCCCAGAAGGGAAGCACCATGGATTCCCTCAGTCAACAAGGCTTCTCCATGGCTGCCGCAGCAAATGGTGCAGTCATATGAAGAGGAAGCTGCCTGCTTATGTATCTTCCATTTTTAAGATCCTATCAACTCTTTTGCTAATTTTTAGGCTGAATCATGTCTTCTTTCTAACTGATTCCTAGAAATTATTTGAATTATGAATATACTTCCCAAATACATTTTCATAAAACAGACATAATAGACATAGTACATGTAATTCATGTTTTATATATAATAAAATGTATTATTTAATTCTAAAGTGATATATTTTATTCTGAAACATTGATATTAATATCTTGATTTGGGCCATTAGTATTAGTATGCTACTTTTTCCTGTCTCTTTACTTTTCTATCCTGTTTCTTTATAATTGCAAGATTGAATTTCTTCTAGGGGATATCTTGAGTTGTTGCAGTTATTTGTTCTTGTTTTGATTATTTTTGGGGCTGCTGGGGATTGAACCCCAAACCTCACACATTCACACAAATGAATGGTCTAGTGGTCTAGTGGTCTAGATGAAACATCTATACCTTCTAATAAGAACATTAACACTGCTCAGATGTGATTGGACTGTTTATCTGGTGTCTGCATTTTGGTATGCTTTTTCCTTCCATGCCTTTCTTGTTCCTTTCTTAGTTTGGTCAATCTAACCTGTGGGGTAGGGTTATCACTTTCATAATTCCATTGTCTTTTGTGGATTTAACAACTATAACTTGGGACATTGTGGTAGAATGGTAATTCAAAACTTTTACAAGGAAATATGGGAAAGTAAGGTCATTTGGAAATCGTATTGTCTTAAACCAGTATCAAATATGGATTACCACCTAAAAACAGGTGAAATGGAGAGATTTGTTCTTAAGAATTTCTGCTTTTTAAAATATTGAACAGGAAATAGTTATTTATAACATCCATAAATTTGTGCAACTACAATAGGTTAATCAAAAATTATTTTAAATTATTCAAGAGAGGATATGTATTAGATTACCATGTCGTAGTATGTACATATAAGCAATTAATCAACAAACAGTAAAAATAGACAAGTAACACTGAAACAATTGAAAATCTACCAGAGAACAAACTGAAAGTCTGCTATTCCTCTGGTGTGAGTGTAAATTGACACACGTACTTTAGAAGCCTCAAAGGAAGTTACAGTGTAGATGATACTGCTGTTAGGATCTGTGAACTTCCTTTTAACACCTCAGGTGAGATATATTTTTTAAAATTGAGCAAAAAGAGGACATTATAAATGACTTTCAAAAAATTCATAAAGTATCATATGGACATAGTTTTAGGTATATTACAAATAGTGACAATTGCTTGTGGATAATTGATTTTGACAGTAATTCTTACTTACAATCTTACTTTTTTGGGGGGGGCGGCTCCAGTCGTGGGGTCTGAACTCTGGACATGGCCCCTGTTCCTCAACTCTTCAGCTCAAGGCTAATGTTCTACCACTTGAGCCACAGCGCCACTTCTGGATGTTTTCTTTTTGCTTATGTGGTGCTGAGGAATCGAACCCAGGGCCTCAGGCATGCAAGGTAAGCACTCTAACACTGAGCCACCTTCCCAGCTCACAATCCTACATTTTTGTAAAGGACTGATAGCTACAAATTGTCTTAGTGTTACTTTGTTCTGGCTAGCCAACTCTTCGATTTGTATATGAGTGTTAGTGACACTCAGCCCAGAAGTTTATTGTCAATATGTTAAATTATATAAACTTCCAGTAGAACACTGACGTCTCACGGTCTTTGAGATTAAGCTTTCACAGTCAATCCCAGATGTTGAATCTTGACTATAATTGTAATGTCAGAAAGCTTACCTCCAGTTTTTTCCCATCCTGACTTCCTTGTTGTAGTAATTCAGTGGATCTTTCCTGTCCTCCTGCTGTCAGATCTCCATTCTGGTTCCAAATCCTTCATTCCTTCGATGAGGAGCAGGCCAGGCAACTCCTGAGTTTGGGTCTCTGGGAAGTGGGAGGAGGCTGAGCCCTTATGGTTTGTGCTCAGGAAGGAGGGGGCTGAGGCACACTGTGTCTGACAGCTGGCACACAGGGTCAGGGCCGAGTCTCCCTGCTCTGCAGGCTGCATCTTCAAAGTCCAGACGGAGCCATTGGGCCTCTGTGCAGAGAACTGCTCAACAGGCATCTCAGGTTTTTCTGCACCAACTTCATACTGGAAGTGAGTCAGGTATTCTAGGCCTTGACCTGGGGTCTGTCTATACCAATAAAGACGCTCGTGTACAGAAATGGGGTCGCACTTGAGTAGCACAGTGTGTCCCCTCTTTGTGACTCTGTGTCAGGGAGACTGGGAGACCCCAGATTCAGTATGAACTTGGAATACAGAAGGACATTCTTTTTCAAATGATTACACCTAATCACACACACACACACACACACACACACACACACATTCACACACACACACACACACACACACTCCCAACAGGACTGATTGCTTATTGCTACTTGGTGACTTACCAGTGCCAAGGAGGCAGAGAACCACCCAGCAGAGGAGCCTGGTGCTCATGGCAGAAGGAGGAAGAGGAGGAGGAAGAGAAAGTGACCCTATCACTATCTTTTGTAAGTAGCCATGGAGAGGCGGGCAGCCTTGTCCCCACTGGGAGGTGCTACAGTGGCATCACTGAGCCCTGGAGTAACTTGATATTAATTAATCAAATGATGCCAGCAGCCCTGAGATGCATGCTTCTATCAAGAGCCCGGAAAAAGGAACGAAAATTACTGTGAGTTAAGATCACAATCAATAAGAGGAGAAAATCTTGGCTCCTCAGACGTTGATTTCAACACAGCTGATTCAGAGCGAGGTCGGCCTGGTGGAGCCCCTCCGCATCCCACACTGCTGCTTCCCACAGCTCACACGGGTTCTCTGGGCCCTCTCCTCACTCCTCATCCACACCTCCATATTTCACCAGTGTTTTGCACTGGGAACCCTCAGGCTGGCTGCCATCTACCTTCAGAGACCTCTGACTTCTCCCCCCATTCGTGCACTTGCCTTAAGAGAAGGAGGAAGAAAGGCAATTGTCCACAGCCTTCAGAGGTGAAAATAATAAGACAAACTCTTCCCTAAATATCTTATTTTTATGTAGAAAGATACTAAAGATGATCTAGAAATTATACCATGAGGGACTTAGTAACTGTGAGAAGTCACAAAGGAGGTTGGGACAATAACCAAGTAAAATTCATGCTAAAGACATGGTTAATGGTCATGTTGATCCATCCCATTACTGGTTTTGTCAGAAAAGTTTATTAGATAAAGTTCAGTGATTGACAGGATCTATTTTGCCTGCAGGTAAGCTAGATGAATGGCGAAGAGATGCCAGGATGGGCTGGGGAAAGAGAGAGCACCTTCAGAACATTCCCAGTCAATGACTTTTCAATAATGCACTGATCCCTCTCCACCATCTGACCCAAGCCTAAAACAGTGCAGGGCTGGGAGGGTCCCAATGAAAAACTTATGAGTGCTCTAGTAAAAGCAGAATTTGGTTTGAATCAAGAATTCACTTTAGGCTGTGCATTTCCTTGCCGTTGTGAAGTTGCTGACAAAAATACATAAATGATCATCATCATCATCATCACCAACACAACATCATTATTATTAAGTTATTTCCATATGAACAGAGGGTGACAAATCTATAAAATAATTCAGAAAATGCAGGAAAATCCACATGGAAAGAAAGATATGAAGCTAGACCAAAAATCTAATGCCAACGATGCCAGCAAGGCTCACATTCAGTCACTCAGGAGCCACAGAGAAACAGCACAACAGTTGAGCATATCAACCAACTCTATCGTACTGAGTTGGCTGTGTGTGTTTTGGAAGTGCATGGTTTATGAACAAGGTACATCTGGGCTCTGGGACACCCAGGTCTCTCCTGAGGGACTGTCACTTGGGGTTCTTGATTGCTTCCAGTCCCTCAGATATCCTTTTCACACGTTTGCAGCACTCATGTCTCAAGAAGCAATGCCTGCCCTCTCCTGACATGAGTGAAGCCTCCATCTGAAGACGGGCCTCCTCCTCCTTCCTCAGATGGTGAGGAAAGCACAGGCCCTGTGCAGGGCAGCTCTGAGCTGCACAGAGCCAGAGAAGCACAGAGCTTTGTGCACAGCAGGAAACGGTCCCTGCCTGGCTGTGTCTAAGCTGCTGGCACAGAGATACACCGCTGAGTCCTCCAGCTGTGCAGGCTGAATCTTCAGGGTGGAGTCTGCACCTTCAGGCCTCTGTGCAGAAAACCGATCTTTGGGCAACTGGGTGTCCTCACTCATAGCCTTATTCTGAAAATGAAGCAGCCTCTCTGGGCCCTGTCCCGGGATCTGCCTATACCAGAAGAGGACATTGTGACCAGAAACTGGATCACACCAAAGAGACACAGCTTGGCTTTTCTCGGTGACCTTGTATCTGGGAGACTGAGTGACCCCAGCTTCTGTGAGTGCTGTGGAGGGAAAGACAAAGAATCCGGGTGGAAACAGTGGAGATGACCTTGGGGGGATGTGACAAGGAGATGGTGGGGATGTGAGGACTCACCCATCCCCAGGAGACACAGGGACACGCAGGACGGCAGGCTGGTGCCCATGGTGAGGCAGTGCAGGAGGTGCTCCCAGCTCTCTGTCCTGCAGAATGCAGCAGAGGAGGAGCTTCTGTGTCCCCACCCAGCAGCCCCCACCACGATGCTATGTGACATGTCCACGGAGGCCTCTGTCTTCCTGTCCAATAGCTGCAAGCCCAGAGAGCTCTTGTGGCTGTGCAGTCATGGCCTATGGAAAGGCTTGTACTGTTCCAGCACTTTAGGAGTTGAGGCTCCCTGCACATTTCCAGATCTCCTGGATAATTCCTCTTGCCTCTACCAAAGCGACTGAAATTCAAGCTATCAGCTACTGAGCTTCCCTCTGCCATGTAACTACCCATCCTTTGAGCTTTCTCTTTCCCCAGGTTCTCATGGACTGTCTTTCAGTTATCTAGTGATAAGAATTCTCTGCTAAATTTATTAGGGGAGGTGAGCGATGCTACAGAAAGAAAACAGCTCAGAAATGTTGCTATAGTTTAGAGGTGCAGTGTTGCATCAGCACTTAAGAATTTGGTCCTGTGTGCAGGCAGTGATCAGAAGCAGGACTCTGGGGTCCCATCACTGGGGATCGAGTTTCCTTCATGGATCATTGTACTGATGTTTTCTGATCTGAATGAAGTAGTAAGGGATGGAGAAAACTGAGAATGATGACAATTAAAACCTAGTTGGAGGAAGTTGCTCTGGGACATGTCCCAAATCATGTGCATGCCTTGTGCTTATTCTCTCTCTGTTGTCTCTCTTAGTCTCTGTCTCTCTCTCTTGCTCTCTCTGTCTTCTGTACATGTATTTGTCTAGTACTCCTTCCCTTCCTTTTCCTTCCTTGTGTCGGTCCTTCCTTCCTCCCTTCCTTCCTTCCTTCCTTCCTTCCATCCTTCCTTCCTTTCTTCCTTCCTTCCATTCTTTCTTTCCTCTTTTCTTTCCTTCATTTCTTTCTTTCGTGCTTGCTTGCTGTCTATGTTCTTTCTCTCTCCCTGCTTTTTGCTCCTTCCATCTCTGCTGCCAGGCTGCTTTAGAGCAATCAACTCTGCTATGCTATGTTCTCCCCAGGATGATGCCCAACTTCTCTAGTGGAAACAAACAGAGCCAAGTGAACACTGACTAAAATGCCTAAAATTGTGACTCAAATAAATAAACATTTTCTTCTTAGGTTTACTCTGACGTTATGTCACAGTGATAGGAAACTCATTAATACAAAAAAAAACACAGATCCTAAAGTTCATGAATAACTCTGCTGTATATCTTCCATCCAAAAATCCCAGTCCACCACCAGCATCTTCCTGCCCCTGTTGAAGATCAATTTGATTCAATGCTAATTCAATGGCCACTGTCATCCAGAACAAGTAATCCCACCACCAGGGTGCACACATGTTTAAGCAAGGACATCTGTACCCTGTAGCCTCCAAGCTCTGGTCTGATAGGGGCTGAGAAGGAACGAGTTGTCACATACTGCTGTTGAGACTGGAGACTTCAAAGGGGCGAGCAGATGCCCTCCGTCTCCCCTCACACTTTCTGTGCAGAGAGGAGGCAGCCCTGCAGCACTGTGGAGAAACTGCTGGCACACCAGTACACAGCTGTGTGGGAGGGGGTGGCTGAGTCCACAGTGAGGGAGAACTCCTCCGTGCGTGGTCTGGACACGCTGTACCCATCGGGGATGTCTCCTTTTGCAGTGCTTCTCTCTCCATTTGAGTAATGGAGCAGCCTCAGCCCATGCCCAGGGTCTTGTCGATACCAGTACATGTAGTTATGACAGCTCAAATTCACCTGTCTTCCTGTCTCTGTGAGCTTGTGTCTTGGACGTTGGGTGATGGCAGCCTCCATGTGTCCTGTAACAGAGAATGACCCAAGTCTGAAGGGGCCTGTCAAGGAGAAGCCTCGGATGCCCTGGGGTGGGAGGCAGTGAGGGGCCCAGCTGTAGCCATCCCTCACCTGCCCACAGGAGACAGAAGGCCATGTGCAGGAGCTGGGTGCCCATCTCAGGAGCAGGGCAGAGTCCCATGTCTACCAGCCTCCTTTGGAGGAAAAAGAAGGTTGCTTCTCAGTGACTCAGTGGCATCACCTCCCCACCAATGCCTGGGCTGCTGCTAACCTGCCACGCCCCTTCCCTGCAGAAACAACTGCTTTCTGTTATGTGCATGCACAGGGTTATGGCATTTATACGTGTAATTGTAGTGCATACACACGATTTCACAGTTCATAGTGAGTGCCAGTTTTAATTTCTTATTAACTAGAACTATCTGTGTTAGTGTTTTCATAATCTTAGGAAGGACATCTGTTCCTCAGGTCATCTTTAAATTGCCTTAAGATAAAAGTCCCTTTCATTCCAATGATCCAATTGTTCCTAAGGTTCTGGCAGACTCAGCAGAGCCACACTGCTGCCCTGGAACTTTCTAAGGCATCTCAGGCTCTCAGTACCTACAAGTAGCTTTTTTTGTAGTATTTTCTATTTACCCTATTGGTAAATAAACATCTGTCATTCTGAGAAGATATCCCAGCCTTCAAAAACCACCAGACATCCAGGTATTAGCGTGTGAAGATCAGGGTGCAGGATCTAGCTTCACATTGATTCTGGTGACAGCAGCCCGCTGGGCTCAGGTCTCCAGGTGTCCTCATGAGATGAAGTCTCCCTGGTTTCAGTCCAGCCATGGACCCTGGATCACTCATGTCCCCCTGCCATGCTTTCTGCCTAAGGATAAGAAGGCTGATCACTAATAGGAAGGAGATTTTGACCAGCAAAGATAGATGACTGCTGTGTCCAGAATCACACCGACAGTCTCTGTCTTCATTCACAGATTCCCATTCACCAATAGAATAATATGGGTGGATCCTATACTTCTGTATCATGAAATTGTAACTCTACACCCTGTAGCATTCATTGCCTGTTATCATTTTCCAGGTAGGCCATGACCGGCTGTGAGCTCTCCGTCCTGCGACCACACAAGGGGACTGAATCTTGATGACATTGCTGCCCTCTTGGTCTAGTGAGGAGGAATACAGAATCGGACTAGACACAGCAGGTGGACAGAATCCAATGAGAGCCTAGTGCTCTGGCCTTGGAAGACCCAGCTGGTCCTAGAGCCCAAGAGACACCAACAAAATGAGCCTGTGGAGCATGGTTGGGGCAAGCCATGGAAAGAAAGATTTCTTTTTTCACATATGTACATACATACACATATAAATATGTTTAATTATTGTCTTTATGTAAATATAAAAAGGATTTTCCATTGAAAAAGACACTTATGGGGAAATGTTATAGTGATCAAGGTCACCCCTTGAAACATTTTCACTTGTCCTGCCCCTACCCACATCCTTCCCTTACTCTTTTTAATTTTGTAGGATACATATTGGAGTCTAGCTGAGACTTGCATTTTTCTTGATGATTCCGGTTAAAGGTAGAGGGACTATCAAAGTTCCCAGGATCAATTTTAAAATAATATGTAATCTATCTATTATGATAGGCTTTGAAAGAATAATTTCTTTGGGTATAAGTATCAGCTATAAATATCTAATTCTTATTTATTTTGAAATTCATTACAGAATTAAAATTTTAGTTTGCTGAAAATATGTATCTCTTCTTCAACCTATCATAGGGCCATTCTCTAGGTAAATGCTCTCTGTCCTGAAAGTTGATGGCAGCAACTATCTCATAACAACCACAATCCATAATGGGACTTACCGTTGCTGCTCAGCTGATCTTGCACTGGACAGACACTACTGTGCTATCTGCTATTGCACAGACCAGAAAACACCATAGAGCCTCAGGAGCAATTCAGGTTAGGGGTGGTGAATGTACACTTCATCCCAGCACTGACCTTTTTAAATATTGAATGTTAAGAAATTCCATGAGCTACAGCTTTCCATCTATGAACTGATACCTTAACATCTCACACATATAAAGAGGATACACTAATGTCTGTGTTTGCATTATAATATCCAATGTGCATTCAAGCACAGAGCAGAGACAGTCCAGAGAGTTAGGAAATAAAATGCTCAGAAGTTGTCTGAGCTGGGCAGGACAGAGAAGGGTTACCACAGCTGGAGAAGGCTCCTGGGGTTTGCTAAGGCTGGGCCTAGTCTCACCCACACCCCCCTCAGTGACATCTTCAGCTGGGGCAGGAAGGTTTGGGTAGAGAAAGCCAGTCCCTGTGCAGGGCTGTGCAAGCTGCTGGTACACAGATACAGCGCGGAGTCCCTCAGCTCCAAGGCGCTCATGTTCAGCTCAGAGTGATAGTCACTGAACTGCCGAGCTGAGAAGCGGCCAGGGATGCTTCCTTTATCTCTTTCTGACTCTTGAAAATAGGAAATGAGGAGCTGGAGGCTCTTGTCCTCGGCCTGCTGGTACCAGTATACAGTATCATGTCCAGAGTCAGGAGAGCACTGCAGAGTGGCCTTTCCTCCCTTGGCTTTGATCAGGTGTCTGGGGGACTGGAGGACCCCAGCATGCACCACACCTGGGCAGGAAGAGACAGCAATGAAGGCTTAGCCCTGGAGGGCATAGGATGCTCCAGCAACCAGGCTCTGCCCCACCAGTGCCCCTGACTCACAGGCTCCCAGGAGACAGAGGACAACACCACAGAGGAGCCTGGGGCCTGGGGCCCAGTCCAGGGGAGCAGCCCCAGGCATCATCTCCCTACTGAGGTCACAGGTCTGAGAAAGAGAGAGAAGGGTGTGGGGAGACAGAGACACAGAGAAACACAGAGAGGAAAGCAGTGGGCGGGGGAGGATTCTCCCCTCCTGGTTCAGCACTCCCTCTGTTTATCTAAACACATCCCTGCCTGGGACAACAAGCCAAGGCTGAACCCACACTCTCCCAGTCAGGAAGCACCTGGCTCAGTGGGCCCACACTGCCCCCTGGTGATCAGCTCTGCTCATTAGTGGAATGGCCCTCTACTGCCTGAACCAGGAGCTGTCCCCAGGGTCCTCCAATACCTCAGGACAGCCCCAGAGGACTGGAGGATTGTCTCTTGCAATCTCAGCTCTTGTCTGTAAACAAGAGGTAGGTGTGAAACAACCCTTCTTGTCTAAAATGAGAAGAAAAGTCCTTCCTTCCTTCATATACTGTGGTAAGCATGGAGAAACCCAAGAGTGATTACATGCCAGGTGACATCAGTAT